TGACCAGGATGGTCTCGATCTCTTGACCTCGTGATCCACCCGCCTCGGCCTCCCAAAGTGCTGGGATTACAGGCTTGAGCCACCGCGCCCGGCTACCTTTCTCTTCTTTACTGTGCTCTGCTCTGTTCTACCCAGGAGCTGCACATACTGGTCTCACTGCCTGGACTTCTTTCCCTCCATCTTTTGTCCCTCTCTTTGCCCAGCTTATTTTATTTTATTTTTGAGACAAGATCTTCCTCTGTGGCTAGCCACCCAGGCTGGAATGCAGTGGTACAATCACGGCTCATTATAGCCTCGACCTCCTGTGCTCAAGTAACCCTTCCTCTCAGTCTCCCAAGTAACTGGGACTATAAGTGTGTTCTACCATGCCCAGCTAATTTTTTTTTTTGTTGAGAGACAGGATCTCACCCATCCTGGCTAACATGGTGAAACCCCCTCTCTACTAAAAATATAAAAAATTAGCTGGGCATCGTAGCATGCACCTGTAGTCCCAGCTACCCAGGAGGCTGAGGCAGGGGAATTGTGTGAACCCAAGAGGGGGAGGTTACAGTGAGCCGATATTGCACCACTGCACTCCAGCCTGGGCAGAATGAGAATCTGTGTAAAAAAAAAAGAGAGACAGGGTCTTGCTATATTGCCCAGGCTGGTCTCAAACTCCTGGGCTTAAGCAATCCTCCTACTTCAGCCTCCCAAAGTGCTGAGATTACAAGTGTGAGCCACCATGCCTGGCCTGCCCAGCTAACTTCTACTCATACTTCAGATCTCTATCCAAATGATGCTTCTTCAGGAAGCCTCCTCTGACTACCCTATCTCCCTGGCTCCTTACAGGGTAAGCCCCTCCTAAGACATGCATGTCCGCATGCTATATATTCTGTACTCCTTTCTACCACAATTGAAGTGAAACAGATAGTCGTGAAATTGTTTAACTATCTCAAACAATAGGGCTATCAAGTCAAGGACTTTTTTTTGTCATATCCACCATCTCTGGATGGCTGTGTGCTTTCGGGTAAATTACTTAACCTTTCTATGACTCAGTTCCTCAGTTGTAATACTCAGATGATAACAGCTTTTATCCTCAAAGAGTTTTTTGGTTTTTTGTCTTTTGAGACAGAGACTCATTCTGTTTCCAGGCTGGAGTGCGGTGGCTTGACCTCAGCTCACTGCATCCTCTGCCTACCTGGTTCAAGCAATTCTCCTGACTCAGCCTCCCGAGTGGCTGGGACTGCAGGCGTGCACCACCATGCCCAGCTAATTTTTGTATGTTAGTAGAGACGGGACTTCAGCTGAGTGCGGTGGCTCACGCCTGTAATCCCAGCACTTTGGGAGGCCAGGGCGGGTGGATCACTTGAGGTCAGGAGTTCGAAACCAGCCTGTCCAACATGGCGAAACCCTGTCTTTAAAAATAAAAAAGAGAGGCCGGGCGCGGTGGCTCAAGCCTGTAATCCCAGCACTTTGGGAGGCCGAGGCGGGTGGATCACGAGGTCAAGAGATCGAGACCATCCTGGTCAA